GGTGACTGTAGGTTCTTTGTTTGTGCTGGTTCGACGTGATGGTGGATGAGTTGTTCGACTAGGTGAAACTAGGAACGTAGCTTAGAAAGTTCGACCTTTTGATACAACGGTCTACACTCCTATATTGATGCCTGACTCGTAGACGACGAGCGAGGACTTATGGACAGTGCGTCGTCCTGAAGATCGAGCGAGGGAGTCGAGAATGACCACTACCCCAAGCGAAGAGGAGCAGAGACTTGAATGAATAACCAGGTCGAACTTAGGGTTCGACCGACTAATGGTACAACTACTTATACAAGTACCGACTGCGCACGGACCATCGTGTCTATGTGGTCGTGTTAGTGAAGAAAGAAACGTAGTGGTACGATACCAGGCACGAAGTGCGCACGGACCCCATTATGTAAGCTACATAATGTTCAACCTGCGGGTGAGCGCTAAGACAGGCGCCAGTATGGGCGCTAGTAGTACAAGGAATAGAACGGAAAGACAAATGTTTCAGGTCCTGCCTGGGGTGTTATGCCACGGGGACTTTGAGTTATGTAGTTCCAATTGCCGTGATACAAAGGGGGAGGTGTCTCCATCAGGACATGATATTGGCATGGCTGTAGCAGATCGCGCGGTGTCGGAGAATCATGCATCACAGTGAGTATGGATGCGACATATCGAGCTTCAGCGAAAGGTGGTGGTTAGCTTGCAACCAACACTACGGTAAGTTCAGACGGCAATCAGCCGGCATTGACCGGCCATCAGTCGGCAATCGCTATGAAATGCTGTCTTACGGTCCGAGGGGCGCGTATTGAAGCAGACCTTTAGAGAGCCCATCCTCTAACCATAAAAAAGGGCGCTCTATTGTAGGCTGCCTAGGGGAGACAACCAAACTGTGTCAATTGACGTTTATGTTAGGTTTGAAGGGCGGGCCGGGACAGCCGGTACAAGGGCGGCGGTCTGTGCGGACCTCGTCTGATTTGTGATCGCGGATCAAATGCAACATCGGTCACGTGGGCACAACGCACCCTCGCGAACTACATGTCCTGTGGCACCGAGTGTGTTCACTTTAATCCTCTTTGCGCGTGTTGCCTTTTTCTCGGTACCTAAGTTTGAGACGGTATCATAATTGCAGTAAGGCTGAGTGCGTGTGACAAGTCACTCAGTGTGCTAGAACTGACGTGTTGCTCAGGCTGCGTCCGGCCGTCCAAGGCTTCGATCGACGCCTGAGATTACCTTGAAAACGTGAGTGATTTCTATGATAAGCCAGTTGTGGAATAAATTGACAATCAGAACGTTGCAGGATTCCGTGCTGCTGACTCGTGGCCGCCGCGCGATATATATCATCGCGTCGTCTTGATCCTCCGTAAGTTCATGCTACTGGCACTACACGGCAATGTCTACAGCGACTCACAGCGACTCATTGCGCGCCCGGTCTCCCTCAAGTTCTTATACCCCTCCCCCCGATTCTTCTCCCGCTCCTGAGCCTCCTTCGCAGCTGCGATCATCTGCCAGAACGAAGTTACGCCCAAAGGCCGGGACACATCACAAGAGCAGGACATCCATATCTTACCTAAAATCATCGCCTCTGAAATCCAGTATAACAACACGTAGCAGACACTTTGCGAAGAGCAAGGTGGGAAACGCGAACCTTCCTGACTACCGCAAGGATCTTGGAGACGATATGAAGGATATCCTTCAGGAGTATGAAGTTAACGCATTCGTTGAGCGCAATGCACCCGGAGATGACCCTACCGACGATGAGAAGAACAAGTTTCGTCCGTTCTCCCGGGAAAAGCTACTATCAGGAGAATCGGAGATGGGGAAAGAGGTCGTGAGTGTTGAGCCCGTTCTTTTGTCCAGTCGCATATAGATAATAGTATTGTCCAAGGCCCTTGTCGCAAACTCGGTGATGAGCTCACATCAAAGCAACGACCTCGTAGCAAAAGATACGGCCGACCTTCCGGACAAGATAAATCTTGCCAACCGCAAGTTGAGACCAGATGTGATCATCTACCCGACAAACAAAGAAGCCATGGACGCCTATAAAATCCAGAAGACAGATGACGCCGATGGGGAGTCCCTCGCCCGTGTCCGCTGGGCGTGGGCCTGTGTCCCCATTGAGCTCAAGTCCACCGCTTCAAAAGCACCGTTTGCAAAGGCAAACAGCAAGCACTTCTTTACTGGCGGACAGCTGGGGCGGCTGGCCAGGGGTCAGATTGCCGACTACGCTGCGATGATTCTTAACCACCAACATAGGGTGTTCTGCTTCATGATCGTCATCACTGGGGTCGAAGCGCGCCTGCTGCGCTGGGATCGAGCTGGAGCAGTCGTCACCAATGCTTTCGACCTTACGGACTCGGAGCAAGTCAAGCCGATGTACCGGTTTCTCTACAGGCTGAGCAAGATGACCGCCGAGCAGCGTGGATATGACCCAACGGTAGTGCCTGCCAGCAATGACGAAATCACGTCGATGAATGTAGCCAGGGATGCTCTGCCGGAGAGCGACTATCGTCGTAAGCGCATCGCTGCTGCCATGACACGTGGGTGGCAGATCCAGAAGATCAGGATGCGCGAAGAGGACGTGGTGTCCGTAGAGGCGTGGCGCCGCGCTGGTCAAGATTCGACCTCTGCACCTACAGACTCATCCTCTCTGTCTTCGAGTGTCCAAGCCGGCGTTGCTCCTTGCTCTACACCTTCTTCTACGCCTCCCAACGCTCATGCTCCCGCGTCTTCGGATAGCAGAAACGAGACAGGCAGCGCGGACTCTGGGGGCCGCTACTTCCTCGTTGGTAAACCCGAGCATCACACCGACTCTCCGATTGGACGCGGGACACGGGGATACATCGCCTACGATATGAAGACTGGGAAATTCGTTTTCCTCAGGGACTCCTGGCGCTACGAAACGTCAAAGTCGGAGATAAAGGTCTACGAGCAATTGCACAGGAATCGAGTCAGACACATCGCGACACCGATATGCGGGGGCGATGTTATCGGGCAAGATAACTCTCCCCAGCAGACATGTGCACAAGAGTTCGACAAGGACAAGAAAATGCCGAAGTACATTCATAACCGTCTGGTAGTGGAAGAAATTGGCATCTCCCTCCTGGAGTTCCCCACTGGGCGGGATTTGGTGGTCGTAATGACACACGCACTCATAGGTGGGCCGCGGCTTGTAGCTTCCAAATACAGTCACTCACCTCACGTCTGAAGCCCATGAAGACGCATGGAAGTTCGCTGAAGTCATGCATCGTGACATCAGTGTTGCGAATATCCTCATGCTTCCTGATGCAAATCCAGAAGCTGTCGGCGTGAGTGTACGTGGAATCTTGAACGACTGGGACTTGTGCAAGTATAAGGAGGAGCTTGGAGCTGCTACGCAACGAAGTCGCTCGGTCAGTAGACTGGTTTATCATGTCCGCTAGACCGTTTACTCATGATTCGGACTAGGGGACTGGCAGTTCATGTCCGCTTTGCTCC